AATTCCCCTGGACAGCCTTGGCAAGAGATCAGAATGCACGGGTTCCAGAAGGAAGGCGAACTAGTTTCTCGCCAATTCTGCCTATGTGCTCTGACTTTGCCTTGGCAATGACTCTTTTGAAGGACCTAGAGGCGGAATTATACTTCTTTAATATATTATTCTTAATATATAATTATACACATTTTTTTCGTAGAATCATATATAAGTTATTATAATTAGGCTAAATTTTTCATATTTAAATCTGCTTATTATTCTTTTATTTTATTTTTAGGTTTCCACATCAAAGTCAAAGTGGAATAAATTCGTCCATTTTTAATTCTCGCGTGCCTTGTATTTATGAACGACTCATATTCTAATTTAAATAAATATATTTTAATTTAAATGTTATGTTGATGTTTTGTTTTCTAAAAGTTTTGTTAAACCTACATTTAGTATGTTCTTTTTATATTTAACATAGATACCTTTTAAAATATTCAGATAAAAATGTAATTAAAATGTAATTGTGATATAATATCACGTAATATTATATTAAATAGGTAAATATAATATACAATATAAATGACAAAATTTAAATTATTCTCGATATAATTTATTTATTTAACAATACAATCTACTATTACCTACAGATCATTCTACCTATGTTTATTCTATGATAAAAAACAACCGCGCGAACACAGACTAGCGTACATTTTTTGTTTGAGATAGCTGTTCTAGTACATAAGTACATATTACTTCAATGGCTTCAATGGACCCTCATATATCTAAACTAGCTAGCAAACTTAGCTCTGCAGTATATGCTGTAAAAGATTAAGGGGTTTGTGTTGAATGTGTTGTGTACTAGCTGTACAGCTAGATTAGTTTATTTTAGTTATTTCCATAGCCATAATGTCATATGGATTCTTGCTATGGACGACTGACATTGAAACTATCTTTGTTTTGCAGAAAAGAGTCATAAAAGCAATTTACAACCTAGGTCCGAAATAATCTCTTGGAGAAAATTAAAAAAAATATTAACTTTTGCTTCCCAATATATTCACGAAAATTTAATGTACATACACAAAAACAAAAAGAGTTTTGCATATGATATTCTGTAAATACTGGGAACAAGCACAAGTTAGTGGTACCAGTTACTCAATTCCAAAGAGTCAGTAATTTCTACATGGGGTAATGTAATATACGCTTTTACAACAAAGTCCCAGATAATATAAAACAGTATCTATCAAATATTTGGGATCAAAGACATTTATTCTTATAAGAATTTACAAAAATTCACTTAAATGAGAAATACATTAAAAACAAAATACATAATGAGTATTAGGTAGTACAATCTAGTTTTTAGAGATTGAGGTATACCTGATAGAAGAAATAAGAACCGATAACCGATGGGGAAGAAAGGTTCTCGAGTGGCAGCCTCGTACCGGTAGGCGTAGTGTAGGGCGACCACCCACTAGATGGAGTGACGACCTGGTAAGATATGCAGGAAGTCGATGGATGCAGGTGGCTCAGGACCGTGCTTTGTGGCATTATTTGGGGAAGGCCTATGTTCAGCAGTGGACTTGTGAAGGTCTGTAATGATGATGATGATGATTAGGTAGTAAGTGGTCACCGAGCGTGCCAGGCAAAGTACACAAATATTTTATGTCACAAAATTATATAAATAGTGCGGGTAGAAATTTTACCATCATAACAGGATTGAAGATCGCCCGTGCAAACAAAAACAAACGGTGCAAGCGAACACAGATACGTGGATTTAAAGATTCTTTGCTAGAATTGACTAGCCATCATAACGAGAATTCTTGTAATATTGTATTAATTATTAATATGAATGTTTAATGATATTTAGTAACCGTAGTGATGGTTTTTAATATTTATTCGTTTATTATATGTTTATTAACTTTTTTTTTTAGGCAGTTAGGTGTTTATAGTTTGTGATTTTGTAGGCTATTTTAACAGTCTTTTAAATGTTAGCATACTTTTAGCTTCCTTGATATCTACAGGCAATTTATTGTATAGTTGTGCACTTTCATAAGTGATGTTCTTTTTTCCGTAGTTGGTTCTTGGCCGTCGCAGAATTAAGTTATTAGCACTTCTTAACATTTTAGTTTGCACATTTTTCTTTTTTGTAAAGGTTAAGTTAGTATGTAGGTTTTTATTTAAAATTTTTCGTGTTAGTACGCGAGGAAGTATTTGTATGATTGTTCTATATTAAGTATTTTAGTATCTTTGTATATTTTGGTTATAGATGTCAGGAAATCGTAACCGAAAAGAATTTTGATCAATTTGTTTTGCGCGATTTGAACAGAATTGAGATTAGTTTTGGCAGCTGATCCCCAGATTTCTACCAGATAATCGATGTGTGTCTTAGCTAGGGAGTTATAGTAGTAATAGCGTATATTCCGCGTAGTGCTCCGGTTAGGGATATCAGTTTTTGTTTTTTTTTTCAAGTGTTCTTTCCATGTCAGTTGGTTATCTAAAGTAAGGCCCAAATACGCTTGTTACTTTGTTGATTACTATGTCATTAATTTTTAGAGGTGTGAGTTCGTGTATTTTTTTTATTCTTTGCTGCAAAGATTATATAGTTTGTTTTGGCTATGTTTATTGTAAGTAGATTTGAGCAAAACCACTTATTTATGTATGTTTAGATCATTTTGCGCGTCTTTATTAATTTATTCAATATTGTTACCGAAGTAAAATAAGCTGGTATCCTCCGCATATAGTGATAGGTCTCCTTTTAGTTCTAATGTGCTTACATCGTGTATGTAAATAAGGAAAGGCAATGGGCCTAAAATGGAGCCTTGAGGGACACCGTACGTTATTTGTTTTAGGCTGCTTTTGTGTTCTGCAAGTTTAAGTATCTGATAACGGTCGGAGAGCTATGAATTAAGAGGTTCAAGAGGCTTTGGTGTTATACCTATATCTTGTAACTTATCCAAAAGATTTTTATGTGAGACTGTATAGAACGATTTTTTTAGATCAATGAAGATGCCAAGAGCAACATTTTTTTCATCTATATTGTTTTTATTTTGGTAACAAGGTCTACAGTCGCTGATAGTATGCTAGATTTGGGTCTGAAACCATATTGTTTGTTATAAAGAAAATTTATAGAGTTTAAATAAGTCTCAAGTCTGTTATAAATAATTTTCTCGAAAATTTTAGTGACAACGGGAAGAACCGATATAGGCCGGTAGTTGCTGGGGTCAGTTTCGCTGCCAGATTTGTGAATAGGTGTAACTTTGGCGATTTTGAGACTACTGGGAAATATACCTTGTTCTAGACAACTATTTAAGCATAGAGTTAGTTCTGAGCTATAAGGTTTTTTACGCATTTTATGGACTTAGTATTGAAGTTATCAATGCCCGAGCTAGTATTTGGATCTAAGTTGTTTATTATTTTAATTACCTCCTCAACTGCAGCCGGTGCCATTGCCGTTAGTTTTTTATCGTTGTTGTTAAGTTTTGCATTTATAAAGATTCTGTTATCATGGTACTGAAGGGAATTTTTTTGTGCTAGTTCTGCTCCAATAAATGAAAAGAAGTGGTTGAAACATTCGCAGATCTCTTTTGTATCGGTTACCGAAGTTCCTCCTATTAGTAATTTGGGTGGTATCGATATTTCTCTAAATTTGTTATTGCTGAGGTTATTTATTAATTTCCACATCTTGGCTGGATTGCATTTATAATCTGTAAATTTCTTGTAGTAGTACTCTTGTTTCATTCTTTGAATTTTATTAGCAACTAGGTTCCTTTGTTTTAGGAAGTTTTCCTTGGCGAGTTTATTCTCTGGATGGCGTTTGTATTGTTCACAGAGGATGTTTTTATAAGTAACATCCTTAATTTTGGATTTTTAATTTTGACTTTTTTGAACTTACAATTCTCTATACTTTTCATAAGTTTACTTCAAATCTTGTGTATTCTTTGTTTTCGGTACTTTCTACGTTTTTCTAGCGTTTCATATAGTTTTTTGTAATCGAATGCTGCATTCTATTCTTTCTTTAGGTTCTGGTTTGAATTCTTTTATTTCAAAAAAGATCTGCTTATGGTCTGATATAGACGATTCAACAATTGCCAGATGGAATTTGTTTTCCTTTAAGTCTGTAGATATATGATCAAGAATAATTTTACTTTTTGATGTTTCACGAATACAATACTGAGGACATATTCTATTAATTATTGAGTAGCCGCATTCTAGGAGTGTATTTTTATATTCTTCAACTGAGCTGTCCAGGTTAAGCAGGTCTAGATTAAAATCACCAAATACTACGGCTCTTTTTTATGATGTAGTAGTAATGAAAGAGTTTCTAGAAATTTTGTAACGTTTGTTCTACCAGGCTTGTATACTGCGCCAATATCTAGTGAGAATTTATCTATGTGTATACACAAGAACTGGTTTTCATCTTTTTCGAGTTCATCAACATAGCAGTGTTTAATAATGTTATGGACAAATATTGATAGTCCACCGCCAATGACATTTTTTCTGTGCTGATGGTAGTGAGTATATCCGGGTAATTGAAATCTCTTGGCTTCATCATTAGATTTAATCCATGTTTCAGTAAGAATAAGCACATGTATCGTAGATTTGAAAGATTCAACAATACACCTCAATTCATCGAATTTTCCAGGCTTTATGATACTTCTAGTATTTGCGTATAAGAATGTTAAATATTGTTTATTGGTTATAAGGTTAATATAATTGTTTGTTATTTGGTAAGTAGTGTTATGTTCGTTTGCTTTGTCACTCATGCATCGAACTTTTTTGGTAATGTTTTAATAATTTTGGGTATATTTTTAATATACTTAATACGTATATTCTTCTCCCTCTTCTGTTCTACGTTTCAGTTCTACTTTCCGATGTTTAAGTTGATTTTGTTGAAATGGTGTCTGATCAGTATAGAATTTAATTTTACTATCTTTTATGTTTCCTTTATTGCGCAAAATAAGCTTTACAATTTCTTCCGAATCAAATGTAACTTTTATTGGACGATTCGTTCCTGGCTTGTATCTTCATATGCGTACTTTTTTTTGATTCAGGGCAGTCTTTGAGTAAGTTTTTGATAGCTCAACTACTTTAGTCTTGTCTAGATCAATACGTTCCTTGGCGTCCGTTGACTGAGGTTCAGGAATACCAGCAATAAGTATGTTCTTCTTTCTCATGCTTTGGTCGTTTAATTCAGACAGTATTTCTTCATATCGCTTCGTATCGCTTGGTAGATTTTTTAAGTTTCCTACATTAGACTCCAGTGACACAAATTTATCCCCAGCTTTCTGTGCAAAGTTTTTGAGACTTTGTATTTCGTCTTGAATGTTACTTTGATTTGTGGCTAGGTTTGTTATCCGTTGCTCAGTCGACCGCATAGCATCTCTAATGTCTTGAATTTCACATCTTATCATTGCGATGTCATTCCTAATTTCATTAGCACTCTCTTTCTGCGCATTGATTGATGAAGTTGAGTGTCATCATTTCTGTATTTTTTTTTCTGAATATCAGAGAGGTGACATTGGACCTGAGCATATTCGCCGTCGGAATGCTTGCGTTTATTACGAAAAGTAATCGTTGAGGGTTCGGAGATTGACGCACTGGGCATGTTTGATAGATTTGGTTGGGAACCACTACGCTCAAAGTTCGTGTCGCTTCCAGTAGGTGATCGAAGTACATTCATGTTTACTTCAACGTAACAAACACTTTGGTTTCTATGACGCACGCACTGAGATGTCAGACCGAGTAGAGAAATTGGAGCCCGTAGCGTCTACCCGAGGGGGTGAAGAGCGGTTACCGCCGGTCGTCAATTGGTCACGCGCGGAGTAAAAAGTAGTAACACAATGCACACGCGTAATGTTAATTACAAGTTTTATGTTATGAGGTAAAGGTTGAAAATAGTTTGACTTTTACAATTTATTTTTTAAGAATAATCAGCAACACGTCCGCCTCGCACGCTCGCGCTTGTGTATTCTATATTTACTAAGCAAAAATTGTTTAGTAAAGGTTATTATATTACTAAAGAGTACATGATGGATAATTACCCCTGGGAATTAGGTGGTTGCCACCATGCTGTTTCTTAATGTCTTAATAACAATTGTATGAAATATTATATTGTAAATTTTGCCTTTTTTTTAAAGTTCCGCTGGGTTTTTTGCTGGTTCTTCCCAGGACAGAGGTTCTTTTTTTGAATCACCGTGACTTTCAGTAAGTATTATATATAATCTCTATAATAAAAATGATTCTGTTCTATTCTATTCTAAAATATTTCATGATCTGCCATCCAATATACCAAACGCTTCATATTTGGTATCTACTCTCTACTAAAAGAATGCCATTTTTAAAACACACTAATTGCAGCCGTTCACCTGTCTACTATGCCGTAGGTCTTGGATTGGAATCCTAGCTGAAATGACTATATTACTCTGAGCTAAACGCTGATGACGTGGTAGCTTAGGCTCTCCGTAAATTTCACAACTCGCGAATAACCCGGGATCGATCTCCGTCATGAAATTGTGAATAGCAATTTTTGTGGATGATACCATATACATGGCGGTGAAGGATATTATGAAGAAACCCGCATGTCTTAGCAATAAAATAGATCCAGGACATGTGAAGTACGCTAACGCGCACGCTGTGACAGCTTGGCTGACTTATTTAAAAAAATATAGTTATTTAATAACATCCGACAGTACAAATAAACTTACAAATGTTTTTCCATGTACCGCCGATTCATAGCTTCGACCATGTTCAATCGGTTCGCGTTGCAACTTTAAATGAGATTCGACTGATTAATGTTTCTTTCTAAAATATTTTTAATATTTTATGTTAATTAGATTAGAAACGAATAAACCATTCTAAATATATTCTTAAAAGTAGAAATTAAAAAAAAACGAGTTAAAATGTGCAAAAAATTAAAGAGCATACCACGGAGGCATTGTTTTATATATATATATATATATATATATATATATATATATATATATATATATATATATATATATATACCTATAATTGTATTTTGTATATAACCTGAAAATTGATAAACCATTACTTAAAACTAATTTCTTATTTCTAATACCATTGTGTAATAAGAAACTTTACCTCAGTCCTAGCTTAGCAACTAGCGATATCTGGTGATCGGAACCTTTACTGCTCCATAACTTTCTCAAAAATACGAAATTTCGATATTAAACTTTGAACACAGTACATTTTAAGGACATTTTATGTTTTAATAACGTTTTCCTATACTTACAATATTATATGATCCACTTATATTATAGGGTACAGATAAAGTGACAAAATTCTAAATTTCTATCATGTGAGTAGGTAAAACGAACGCAATGACTGACGAGATTATTGAAGTATAGACTAAGCCTAAACGTAAAAACCGCATGAAGAGCGTGTACGGTAAGGTACTCGGCGGTTACATATAATAAACATACGTTGTTATGCTTCGGCATAACAACGTATGTTTATTATTTAGGGGTTTATTCAGACGTTGGCGGTCTGTGTCTACCACTGCGTTACAACGTATAAGAATTGAGAGGTTACAAGATGAAGATGTGAAAGACAAGTACAAATGCAGACTGAGAGAAAATATAAGTAATTTGGATGAGTTGTGTATGAATGAGTTAGACTTGGAGAATGTGTGGCATAATGTTAAGAAAGGTTTAGTGGATGCAGCTACCGAAGTATGTGGTGTTAGTAAGAGAACGAATGAAAGGAAAGACAATACGTTATGGTGGGATGATGAGGTTCGTATGGAAGTTGAAGCAAAGAAGAGAGCATGGCTAGATTTACTAGCGACCAAAGCTGGTAATTCTGGCGGTAAGAATGATGAGAATGAAAGAAAAAAGAAGTTTAAACGTCTAAATAAGAGAGTAAAAGAATTAGTTGAAAGGAAATAGCAAGAAAGAACGGATAAGAATGATAGAAGAATATCGAATAACTTCCAGGCAAATATTAAAATGTTCTGGAAACTCGTAAGAAATACCAGGGGACTTTCAAAACAGCCTAGATTGAATGCGATACGAGACGAGAATGACTGTATCCTGAATGATGAAGTGTTGAGTCTAAAGAGATGGAAGGAATATTTTGAAAAGCGTATTTATGAGTGAGGAGAAGTGTGAACTAAATGAAATAAAAATTCCGAAAGAAGATGAAAGAGATAGAGAGATAAGTATAGATGAAATAATGAAAGCAATGAAAAGCATGAAAGTAGGTAAGGCAGCCGGATACGATAGAATTTCGCTCGAAATGCTAAGGGCTGGAGAGGACGTGGTGGCAGGCCTGCAGTACACCTTGTGTAATTTATGTTGGGAACTAAAGCGGGTACCGGGAGACTGGTGCAAAGCCGTGATAGTCCCAATATATAAGGGAAAAGGATCACAGCAGGACTGTAAAAACTACCGTGGTATCAGCCTTCTTAGCATTGTGGGAAAACTGTATGCTAAGGTACTAATTGAAAGAACTGATGAAAAAATTTGGGATGTGCAAGCGGGATTTAAAAAGGGAATGGGGTGTACAGATCAAGTCTTTTCCATGCGCATGATTTGAAGTTTTTGGCGAAAAACCAAAAAGTTTTTTGTGCGTCCATGGACTTTGAAGAAGGCTTATGACAGAGTGGACAGGGATGTGTTATGGCAGACGCTGAACGCATTTAGGTTGAACGCTGGTTTGATACAGGCATTAAAGTCTCTGTATAGGGACTCGAGTGCTTGTGTTAGAATCAACGAGATCTACTCGGACTGGATTGGCATCCATAAAGGTGCAACACTGTGTGGCTTCCTCGTGGCTGTTCAACCTATTTATGGACAGCTGTTTGGAAAATTTGAAAGTTGAAGAATGCGGGTTAAGAATGGGTGAGTTAACCATCAAATGCCCTTTTGTACGCCGATGATCAAGTCATACTTGCGTCGTCGGCGGCCGAGTTGCAAATGATGGTTACATCAATGAACAGGTCATTAAAAGAAAGGGGAATGAAAGTGAACGCAAGTAAGACGAAAGTGATGGTTTTTGAAAGAGAAGAAAGCAAAACGGTATGTGAAATAAGAATAGAAGGAGAGTTAATTGAGCAAGTGGATGAGTTCGTATATTTGGGATGTGTATTCAGCAGGGATGGGAGATATGATAAGGACATTGAACGACGAGTGAATGCAGGAAATAAAGTAAATGGGGCTCTACACTCTATTGTGAAAAGTCAGAATGTGTCAAAAAAGGCACGTATGGCAATTCACAACGCTGTATTAGTCCCTATTTTAACGTATGGTAGTGAAAGTTGGGTGTGGCAGAAGAAGCACGAGAGTAGAATAAATGCAGTAGAAATGCGGTCGCTAAGGAGTATGTTAGGGCCTTGACAGGGTGAGAAACTGTGTGATAAAAAAAGTGTGATTTGCAAGATGTTGCGGTGACCAGGATTAAGAAAGGAATGCTTCGGTGGTTTAGTCATGTAGAAAGAATGAATGCGGAAAGACTGACAAAGCAAATATATGTTGCAGAAGTGAATGGAAGAGTCGGAAAGGGACGTCCTAGGCGGAAGTTTGTCGACCAAATTGGCGATATACTAAAATGGGCCAAATTAGGAGTGCCCTTAACCGACGAGCATGTATGCGTAGGTATATGGATGTGGAAGAGGCGAGAAATGTATGTCAGGATCGTGCTAAATGGAAGTCTGTAGTCTCTGCCTACCCCTCTGGGTGACAGGTGTAAGTGTTTATGTTGTTATATGTCTATACTGCACGCCCCACCGAACGCTAACAACTAAGGCATTAGGCATATACCTAGTCTAATTAACACTGAGTTTTTACACATAGAGAAATAAATAATAATAGTTTTTGACACAATACATAAGAAACGGTAGAACGAAGCTGCTATATTAACTTGTATTCATAACGGTCAGTAACCGTCGAAAGTGCCACGAGAAAGGACTTTTGCCTACAATACGTCGGATTATCATTTGAATGCGAAATCAATTTTCCCTTCACTCGACCATTCCGTCGGTTGCTACAGAGGGAACCCTTCTGTTTTAACAGAATATACACTTCAAGAAACTTAATACATATCGTCATAATTTGTCTTAATCATAATTTGTTTATAAATATCTATTTCATATTTATTATAACATTATATATATATATATAATAAAAGAGTGCATATAGTAGTAACAAAATAAGCGACAGTCCGATTCACAATAAATGTTTTCTGTGCTTCAAACAAAGAAACAAATGTGCCTTAAAGCCTGTAATTATGTATTAGTGGAACAGCTCTTCAAAGCAATCTTGATATTGAGTAGAGGGTTTCCTGACGCTGAATATGCTTCCACAGTAGATTGTCTCATGGCAGGATTATTTGCCATAGTTGCCACGCTTGGCAGGTGGGTGAGCAATCGCAGTTTTTCTATTATTTTGAGTGG